CATCTACAATTTCGACCAATTAGCAAATAATTTCGCGAGGCCTAAATTTATGATTTCATGAGCTATAATCACGATTTTTTGCCATGTTTAGTTGTTTTGACCTATTAGCAAATAATTTCATACTGTCCAAAATTAATGAATTCATGAGCTATAACATATGATTATTTACCATTTGTAGTTCCTTCGACCCTTTGGTGAATGGTTGCGCAAAGTCTAAATTCATGAAAAAAATTTCATGAGTTATAATCATAGTTACACAACATGAGGTACATAGCGGGTCACGATATAATTCATGAGCTATAATCAGTACGCAAGTTCAGTTAGTGGTATGTTGTAAATTTTTTTCCAGGTGCGCTTAAAGTTTTTCCAAAGTACATAGTAGAAAACTAGAAAGCTAATTATGAATTTTAATATTTTTTTCATATAAAATACTTAAATACTTCTTTTTGATGGAGTTTGTTTCTTTATTTTGTTTTTTTTCGCAGAGCTTGTCTTAGGATCATGGTTTCGTTTTACATTTAATTAACATATATATTTAGTTACGGTAAAGTCATTAGTTCATATACTCTATTGTGTCTCTCTCTTTACTTAATTGCACACATTGCATTGCATCTTACCCACGTGCACTTTAAAGAGGCTTTACATCTAGCATAATTGTAAGCAGTGCGCCAATTTTGAGGAAACAGTTCATGTATCGGGGGAAATCTGTTCACAAATGTACATGGAATCGGTTCGCAGGAGTGTAGGCAATAAAAATTGCCTTTACACAAGAGAGCTCAAACCTTGCCTATTTGAGTTTGTCTGCATTCAAGAGGCCAAGCCAAAGCTCGCATGTTTGCTTGACTTGCTAGCACAAGTCAAGCTTGCCTGCATTTAAGAGGCCAAGCCATGCTCATCTGCACGAGCTAAACCTCGTCTGTTTGAGTTCGCTTGTGTGCTAAAAGCAAGCAAAGCTCGCCTACACGAGCCGAACCTCGCCTGTTTGCTTGACTCGCCAACATGAGTCAAGCTTGCCTGATTATCGAGCTCGACAGCACGAGCTCGACCTCGCTTGAATGCCTTACTCGCTCACACGCTCGAGGGGCACACCAGCCGACCCTGCCTGTTCGCCAAGCTCGCCTGAATGTTCAAGCAGCTCTCAAGCTCGCTTGCAAGCTCGTCAGCCCTACCTGAACAGTGCAAGCGACTGCTTGCTTGTGGGAGTGGGCCCACCCACTTCCCACGTCCTGGGTAATGACGCATGGCTCTCATCACCCCTATAATGATCACATTCCATAACTATAAGGGGAGTATGCTACTCCTTACTCCTATTAGTGGTCACATCTCACAAATCAATGGATGACCCATGTCTTGCCTTGCCTATTTATGTGCCTCCTTTGGCAACGTTAAATAAAGGGGGGGGGATCATTTGGAGACTTTCTCTTAAGCTGGATCATTTGGAGACTTTCTCTTAAGGCTGGTCTTGTGTCTTGCTCTTGGCTGGTGATTAGACTCTACAAGCAGAGGCCTCCATTGGCTTGTTTGGTTGAACATTCTTGGTTATAAGCTTGGATTGTTGAAATAGACTTAATCTGAACTCTCAGATTTGAGGCTCATTAGCTCTCTTCAAACTCTTGCATTGTAGCCCTTTCTAAGTTTTCGGCCTTGATACTCATCAAGCTCGGGTATAATCGAACTCAATCATACAAGAGCTTCTACTACGTACTGAAGCTCAACCGCAATTTCGATCGAATAGTCCAAGGGAAGCAAATTCAACGTAAGCATTCGAGGGAGACATCCTATCACTGCCGAAGAATCCACGTTAAACAAGAAGAGCATTCTCTTCGCTTCTGTTGTAATTTTAATTTCTTGATTTGTAATAAGTCATTCTTATTAATACAAATCCCCTCCCTTTCAGAAGGAATCAATTTTTACTCCCCTACAAGGAACTGTACGACCGTTCGAGAAATTGTACGACCGATCGAAGGGGGTCCAGGGAATCGTGGAACAATGGTTATAACCCATTATTATTTACCATTGTTATTCACTTTGACTTTTTGGCAAATAATTTCACTATGGTTAAATTTCGAGTGCTATAACCTATAATTTTAGAGAATTTTTACTTGTTTCAACCCATTATCAAATAATCTTTTAGTTGCTAAAAGTCACGTTGTCGTGAGCTATAATCTACGATATTTGGCAATTTTTAGTTTTGATTCATTGGCAAATAATTTCACGGAATCCAAAATTCATGATTTCTTGAGCCATAACCTACGATTTTTATCCATTTGTGTTCATTTCGACCTTGGGAAAAAATTGTTGAAAATAAAATTCATGATTTCATGAGCGACAACCCATGATTTGGCCATTTTTTAGTTGTTTCGACATATTGGTAAATAATTTTGCAGAGGCTGAATTCACAATTTCAAGTGCAATAACCCACGATTTTTGGCCATTTGTAGTCGTTTCAGCACATTGACAATAATTTCGTGAAGGCAAAAATTTCACGAATTCATGACCTATAAATATTTGCTATTTTTTGTCATTTCCACTCATTAGGAAATAATTTCTTGTAGTCTAAAATTAACGATTTTATAAGCTTTAACCTATAATTATTTACCATTTTTAATCGTTTCAACCTATTGGTTAATAATTCTGCAGCGTCCAAAATTCACAAATTCATGAGCAAACCTACAACTTTTTGCATTTTGGTCGTTTCGGTCTATTGGCAAATAATTTCACGGTGGCAAAAATTCATGATTTCGTGAGCTATAACCCATTATTTTTTACCATTTTTAGTCATTTCGAATAACTGGATAAATAATTTTGGGGTGCCGAAAATTCACAATTTCATGAGCTATAACTCATTTTTAGTCGTTCGACTCATTAGAAAATAATTTCGTAGTGACCAAAATTCGTGATTTGGTGGGATAAAAACCCATGTTTTTTGGCCAAAATTCATGTTTTCACGAGCAATAACCCATATTTTTTTGTCAATTTTCATCCATTTCGACCCTAGGGAAAAAATTTCGCAGAGTCCATAATTCATAATTTTATGAAATATAACCCATAATTTTTTGAAAATTTTAGTCGTTTCAACCCATTGACAAAAAATTATGTGGTGAGCAAAATTCATGTTTCAATGAGATATAACCCACGATTTTGACCTTTTTTTTTATTTAGGCCCATTGGTAAATAATTTTACGAATATCCAAATTCATGATTTAGTAGGCTATGACCCACGATTTTTGGTCATTTTTAGTTGTTTCAACCCACTAGAAAATAATTTCATAAATACTAAAATTCATTTTTTATGGGCCACAACCAACGGTTTTTATCTATTTTCGTTCATTTTGACTTGAGGGAAAAAGCTTTGCAAAGATGAAAATTCACGATTTCATGAGCTATAAGTCCCATTTTCGATCATTTTTAGTCGTTTCAACCAAATTGCAAATAATTTCTCAAAGTTCCAAATTCATGATTTTTTGAGTTATATCTGACGTTATTTTTGGCTAGTTTTACTAGTTTCGATCCATTGTGAAATAATTTTGTGGTGGCCAAAATTTACTATTTCTAAGCTATAACTTACGATTTTTTATCATCTTCTATCGTTTCCACCCATTAGCGAATAATTTCGCCGTTGTTAAAAATTCAGGATTTCTTGAGCTATAACCTATGATTTTCGACCATTACAATCGTTCCGACACTTAGGCAAATAATTTCGCAAAGGCTAAAATTCACGATTTCATGAGTTATAACCTACAATTATCGGTTATTTTAGTCCTTCCGACACTTCGGCAAATAATTTTGCGATTACCAAAATTTATGATTTCAAGAGTTATAACCTACGATTATCGGCTATTTTTAGTCCTTCCGACACTTTAGCAAATAATTTTACGGATGCCAAAATTTACCATTTTTAGTCCTTCCGATAGTTTGGCAAATTTCCCGGATGCCAAAGTTCACGATTTCATGATTTATAACCCACGATTTTTTAGCATAATCGTTACAACCCCTTGGAAAATAAATTTGCGGAAGCTGAAATTCATGTTTTCAAGACCTATAATTCACGATTATCGGCCATTTTTATTCGTTTAGACCCATTAGTAAATAATTCAGCGGAGATCGAAATTCACGATTTAGTAAGCTATAACCCACGATTTTTTGTCAGTTTAGCTTGTTTCGATCCATTGGCAAATAATTTCACGGTGGCTAAAATTTACGATTTCGTGAGCTATAACTAGGGGTGCAAAATGGTACGGATTTATCCGGACCGATCGTAACCGTATCCGTTTAGAAAGCGAATATGGTTGGGAAATATTTAAACCGGTTGGATATGGTTTCGGATACGGTTATCGAGTCGAAATTGCGGATACGGTTCGGATATCTGGATATTTGAAATGGGCCATGTATAATACTTGTATTGGGTCTGTATTGGGTCGGGTTTATAACATATATCCGCAACCCGACCCAAATTCAACTCAAACACAACTTCAAACCCTAATTTTTATCTTTCCAAACCCCACCCCCACTCACCCAGCCTCCACCAGCCCCTGAGCTCCGCCTCCGCTGCCGAGCTCCGCCTCCCGCTCCGCCTCATCTTGATGCTCCGCCTCCGCCTCTTCAAGAAGTCCGCGGCCGCCTCATCTTGATCGACGCGACGATGACGCGACGACGACGTCCAACCTCCTCGTCTCCTCCTCAATTTGGTGTATCACTAAGGTGAATTCTAATTGTTGATAAAAGCCCTAATTTTTAGCATTTGTTGACTGAATTAAAAAATCGTAATTTATTTGATAAAAATCCCTAACCTATTAGTTCTAATTGTTTTATGTTGCATATATAATTGTAATTTGCATCATTATATTTTTTTGTTTGATTAAGTTTATAAATTTCAATGAATAGGTATTAGAATCATGTAATTTGCATCATTATATTTTTTTGTTTGATTAAGTTTATAAATTTCAATGAATAGGTATTAGAATCATGTCGTCTAATCCATCAGTAATTTCAATGAATAGGTATTAGAATCATGTCGTCTAATCCATCAGTTCAAGCTTCTAATGAAGAACCCACGGTCGAACCCTCCGTTGAACCGATCATTGAACCCGCAGTAGAAGAGTCTTCTATTAAAACAGAGGAAAAATCTGAAAAAAGGGGAAAAAAGTTGTAGTTTGTGAGGTCAGTTGTAGTTGTTGATTATCACATTTTAGTTATTATATTCATTATTTTTTATTTTTTGGTTTAGGGCCTGTTATGGTGTTATGAGGTTTGTCATACAAAATAGCAACAAAGTCTTGAGGTAACTTGTCTTACTTGTCTTACATTGCGAGTTATTAAAATCATATGTATTTTTTGTCATATCTTATTCATATCTATTTCCTAAATATCGAATTAGTATCCGTATCCAAACCGTATCCGAACCTCTAATATCCGAACCGTATCTGTTTCTGTTTAATGCGGTTATCATAATGTTTTTTTCTTAGCGATGAATATCTGAACCGTATTCGTATCCATTTTTAGAAAGTGGATATGGTTATGGTAAGGGTCATATCCGAATCGAATGCACCCCTAGCTATATAACCCATGATTTTTGACCATTTCAAGTCTTTTCGAACCATTAGTAAAGAATTTTGCGATGGCCCAAATTCACGATTTTGTGAGATATAACTCTTAATTTTTGACCACTTTAAGTCGTTTCAAACCATTTGCAAAGAATTTCACGATGGTCAAATTTCCTAATTTAATGAGCTATAACTTGTGCTTTTTAGCAATTTTTATTCGTTTAGACTCATTGGCAAATAATTTCGTGGTTGCTAAAATTCACGATTTCATGAGCTATGTAACCCATAATATTTTGCCAGTTTTAGTCATTTGGACCCATTAGTGAATAATTGCGGAGAATCCAAATTCACAATTTCATGAACTATAACTTATAATTTTTTTGCAATTTATAGTTGTTCCGACCCATTAGTAAATAATTGTGTTGTCGCCAAAATTCTCAACTTCGTAAGTTATAACTCTTGATTTTTAACCATTTTTAGTCATTTTGACCATTTTTAATCGTTTCTAACCATTAGTGAAGAGTTTTGCGATGGCTAAATTTTTTGATTTCATGAGCTATAACCCGCGATTTTTGATCATTTTTAGCCATTTGGTCACATTGGCAAATAATTTCCTGGTTGTCAAAATTCATGATTTCACAAGCTATAACTCATGATATTTTATCATTTTAGTCGTTTTGACCCATCGGTGAATAATTGCACGGAGTCCAAACTCATAATTTTATGAGTTATAACCCACAATTTTTTGTCGATTTTAGTCATTTTGGCACATTGGCAAATAATTTCAATGTGGCCAATATTCACGATTTTTTGAACTATAACTCATGATTTCGGTAATGTTTAGTTTCGACCTATTGGCAACTAATTTTGTGATTGTCAAAATTCATGATTTTGTGAGCTATAATCCTTCTTTGTTGCCCTTTTTAGTCGTTTCGAAACATTGGCAAAAAATTTCGCAGAGATCAAAATTCATGAATTCTTGAGCTATAACTATGAATTTTTGCCATTTTTGTTGTTTCGACCCCTTGGCAAAATATTTCGTGGTGGCCAAATTTTGTGATTTCGTGAGATATAACCTATGACTTTTGGCAATTTTTAGTCGTTTCTTTCTTCTGGTAAATAATTTTGTGGCTGCCAAAATTTACGATTTCGTCACCTGTAACCCATGATTTTTGATCATTTTTTTAGTTTCGACCTATTGGCAAATAATTTCGCGGAGGCTGAAATTCACTATTTCATGAACTATAATCCATGCTTTTTGGCCATTTTTAGTCATTTCGACCAATTAGCAAATAATTTCGTGGAGTCCAAAATTCACGATTTCATGAGCTATAATTCATATTTTTCGATCATTTTAAGTCATTTCGACCTATTGTCAAATACTTTTGCTGTGGCTAAAATTTATATTTTCATGAGCTATATAACCCATGATTTTTAGCTATTTTAAGTCGTTTCGCCCCCATTGACAAATAATCATGCACACAAGGAAACACGGAAGCTCATGCATGCATGACCATGCAAATTGACTATAGAGCATACGAAATTACAAATGCATGATTTTTCCCTGGGAAAAAGCATGCATTTGTATGCTCTATGTCCAATTTTTAGCCATTTAAAGTTGAATCGCCCCATTGACAAATAATCAAGCACCCAAGGAAACAAGCATGCTTATGCATGCATGTGCACACAAATTGGCCAGAGTATACAAATGCATGCTTTTTCCCAGGGGGCTATATGCTTGAGATGACCAAAAAAATTTATTCCACTTTTTATTCAGTTTTATTATATAATATTGGTGTTACGTATGAGACTTCTTGTTTTAGAAATAAGTTATCTGTTCTTCTTTGGCTATCTTTGTGTTATATCTCACACTGTTACTTCAGGTTACTGGGGTACGTTGCTATTGGATCTCGCTTTTCAAATATTATTTCGCAAACATTGTTGGTTCTTCTAAAACAGGCTTCCTCCAAAGGTTTTCTCTATACCTCGCCCTCTGTGATCAATGAATAAAGAGTGTACACAATGTGTTAATTCCTTTGCTATAAGTGTTAAAATACATGTCTCCAACACTAATTTGTTTTGTAAATTCTACTTTTAGGTTTTCAAACATGCTTTTTAAGTGCTTTTTGCATTCATTTTGTCAATGCATCATTGCTGTAGAACAAAACAAAATAGCAAATTGAAACCATGTTTTCATTTGTTTTAAATCCATTGCGTCAACGAATATATCAAGTTCTTAGGGACAACACAGCAGCTCATACACTACTTATTTCTATTTTGAATTGGTTATGTACAGAAAAATGAATTAACAAAAAAAAGAACTTTTTGACCAGAAAATTGCAGTGTTTGTTCTTCTTATATGATACCCCAACAACAAAATGATATGAAACCCCAACTACAAAACAATCTCCCCAGCTCCAAACAAATGGGGGAAAATGTAAAAATAAAAAAATTGTCACAAAAATTTAGAATGAATTGGAATCTCTTAAACCTCCAGCTCCTCTAAGACGATGTCTATTGGAACCAGATTTCTTGCCCTTTCCACGTCTAGATGGTTGCTTTCTTGATGGGGTTGATCTTGATGTTGCTGCATTGTGGACTTCATTGGATTTTGACTTAGTCCATAACTCTTTAATCAAACTGGGCTGTGTATGGTGATTTTGGGATGCACGTTTTTTCTGTAATAAGTCTCTGTGATATGCTTGCACAATTTTGAGGTATGTTTAATTAATTGCCATTGGATGAAACAAATAAAAATTGTCAAAATTGTGGGTTATAACCATCAAAATTGTAAATTTTAAAGTAGCCATAATTAATTGTCATTGGGGTCATATAAATGGTAATGGAAAAAAATCATGAGATATAACCCATGATTTTTGGCTATTTTTAGTTGTTTTGACCAATTAGATAAATAATTTCTCGGTGACCAAAATTCACGATTTTGCGAGTTATCCTATAATTTTTTACTATGTTTAGTCGTTTTGACCCATTGGCAAATAGTTTCACAGAGTTTAAAATTCATGTTTTCATGAGTTACAACTTATGATTTTTGTCCATTATCATTCATTTCGACCCAAGAGAAAAAATTTCTCAAAGTCCAAAATTAACGATTTCATGAGTTATAACCCATTATTTTTTGCCATTGTTAGTCGTTTCGACCCATTGATAAATAATTTTGTAGAGACTAAAATTAATGTTTTCATGAGCGTAATTCACAATTTTTAGTCATTTTATTTGTTTAGATCCATTGCCAAATAATTTCGTGGTCGTCAAAATTCATGATTTCATGGGTTATAACCCATGATTTTTGGCCATTTTATTTATTTCACCCATTAGCAAATAATTTAAAATTAAAATTCATGATTTCATTTGATATAACCCAAGATTTTTGGCCATTTTTATTCATTTAAACCCATTGACAAATAATTTTAAAGAGGCCAAAATTCATAATTTTATGAGCCATAACCTACGATTTTTTGCCATGCTTAGTTGTTTCGATCCATTGACAAATAATTTTGCGGAGTAAAAATTAACGATTTCTTGAGATATAACCTACCATTATTTGTTATTTTTAATCCTTTTGACCCCTTGGTGAATTGTTGCGCAGTCTAAATTCACATTTTCATTAGCTAAGACCCACGATTTTTTTGGCATTTTAAGTCGTTTCGATCTATTTGCAAATAATTACGCGATGGCCAAAATTCACAATTTTGTGAGCCATAATCCATGATTTTTTACTATTCTTAGTCATTTTGACCCATTAGTAAACAATTTGGCAGTGGCCAAATTTCATGATTTCATGAGTTATAACCCATGATTTTTAAGAATTTTTAGTCCTTTCCACCCATTGAAAAATAATTTCGTGGTTATTAAAATTTACGATTTCGTGAGCTATAACTCATGATTTTTGACAAATTTTAGTCGTTTCGATCCATTGGCAATTAATACCATGGAGTCCAAAATCCATGTTTTTATAACCTATAACTCACGATTTTGGTCTATTTTCGTTCATTTTGACCCAAGGAAAAGATTTAAAGAGTCTTGAAATTCATGATTTCATGAGTTAAAACCCACAATTTTTTAGACTTTTTAGTCGTTTCAATCCATTGACAAATAATTTTGTGGAGGCCAAAATTCACTAATTCATGAGTTATAATACATGATTTTTGACCTTTTTTTAGTCGTTTCGACCCGTTGGCAAATAAGTTCGCAGAGTCCAAAATTAGTGATTTAATGAGCTATTACCTATAATTATTTTCCATTTTCAGTCGTTTTGACCAATTGGTTAATAATTTTATAGCATCCAAAATTCACGAATTCATGAGCTATTACCTGTAATTTTTTTCATTTTAATCGTTTCAATCTATTAGCAAATAATTTTACGGTTACCAAAATTTACGATTTTGTGAACTATAACCTATGATTTTTTTTACCAATTTTAGTCATTTCAACCAGTTGGACAAATAATTTCGTGGTGGCCAAAATTCAAGATTTTATTAGCTATAGCCCATGATTTTTCACCATATTTAGTCATTTTGATTCATTGGCATTACGGAGTTCAAAATTCATGTTTTCACCAGCTATAATCAATTAATTTTTTCCATTTTCATTCATTTTGGCATAATGGTAAAAATTTCGCAGAGTCCAAAATTCATGATTTTATGAGCTATAACCCATGATTTTTGGCCATTTTAGTTGTTACCCGTTAGCATATAATTTTGTCGGCACCAAAATTAACATTTTCATAAACCAGAATTAATGTTTTCATGAGCTATAACGTACGATTTTTTACCATTTTTATTTGTTTAGACTCGTTGACAAATAATTTTGTGGAGACCAAAATTCACGATTTAATGAGCTATAAACCACTATTTTTGGCCATTTTTAGTCGTTTCGATCTATTAGGAAAAAAAATTTGCGGATGCTAAAATTCATGTTTTCATGTGTCATAAACCACAATTTTTGTCAATTTTTATTCATTTTAACTCAAGGAAAAATGTTTTATAGATGTAAGAATTCATGATTTCATGAGCTATAATCCACGATTTCCAGTGATCTTTTAGTCATTTCCATCTAGTGACAAATAATTTTACGGAGTTCAAAATTCATAATTTCATGAGCTATAACCCATGATTTTTACCTAGATTTATCTGTTTCGACCCATTGGTAAAAAATTTCACAGAGTTCAAAATTTATAATTTCGTTGGCTATAAACCTACAATTTTTGGCCAGTTTTGGCTGTTTCGATCCATTAGCAAATAATTTTATAGAGTCTAAAATTCAAGATTTCATGCGCTCTAATCCACAAATTGTGGCTATTTTCAGTCATTCGGACACATTGGCAAATAATTTCACGTAGGCCGAAGTTCATGATTTTATGAGCTATAATCCATAATTTTTTTGCCATTTTTAGTCGTTTTGACCTCTTAGTAAATAATTTTATGGAGCCCAAAATTCACGTTTTCAAGAGCTATCATTCACCATTTTAGTCCATTTTTCTATTTAAACCTATTGACAAATAATTTCGCGAAGACAAAAATTCACGATTTAGTGAGCTATAACCCATGATTTTTTTATTATTTTAAGTTATTTTGACCCATCGGTAAATAGTTTCGCGGTGACCAAAATTGATGATTTAGTGAGCTATAACCCATGGTTTTTGACCATTTTTACTCGTTTCCAACCATTGGTGAAGAGTTTTGTGATGGACAACTTTTCTAATTTCATGAATCATAACCCATGATTTTTAATATTTTTTAGTAACTTGGTCCCACTGGCAAATAATTTTATGGTTGCCAAAATTCATGATTTCATGAGCTATAACCTATGATATTTTATTTTTTTAGTCATTTCGACCCATCGGTGAATAATTTGCACTGAGCCCAAATTCACGATTTCATGAGTTATTACCCACGATTTTTTACCATTTTTAGTCGTTTTGACACATTGGCAAATAATTTAACGGTGACCAAAATTCACGATTTCCTGAGCTATAACCCATGATTTCTAGTAAAATTTAGATATTTCGACCCATTGACAAAAAATTTCATGGAGATCAAAATTCATACACTCATGAGCAACAACCCATAATTTTTTAACCCCTTAGCAAAATATCTCGTGGTGGCCAAATTTCGTGATTTCGTGAGGTATAACTCATGATTTTTGGCAAAATTTAGTTGTTTCGTTCCATTGGCAAATAATTTTGTGGTCGTCAAAAATTATGATTTCGTCACTTATAACCCATAATTTTTTACCATTTTTAGCCGTTTCGAACTATTGACAAATAATTTTGCAAAGGCCGAAATTCACAATTTCATGAATTATAACCCATGATTTTTTTGCCATTTTTAGTCATTTCGACTTATTAGTAAATATTTTCGTGGAGTCCAAAATTCACGATTTCATACGCTATAGCCTATATTATAGTTTAAGATTTTTTACCATTTTAAGTCATTTCGACCTATTAGCAAATAATTTTACGGTGACCAAAATTCATGTTCTCATGAGCTATAACCCACGATTTTCAGCCATTTTAAGTCGTTTCGCCTCATTGCCAAATAACCATGCACTCAAATAAACATGAATGCTCATGCATGCATGAGCACACAAATTGGCCATAGAGCATACAAATGCATGCTTCTCCCCCGGGACTATACGCTGGAGATGACAAAAAAAAAAAATTATTGCACTTTTTATTCAGTTTTATTTAATAAAATTGGTGTTACGTATGAGACTTCTTATTTTAGAAATAAGTTTTATGTTCTTCGTTGGCTATCTTTGTGCGTTGTATCTCATACTATTACTTGAGGTTAGTGGGGTGCGACGCTACTGGACCCCGCTTTTCAAATATTATTTCCCAAACATTGTTGGTTCTTCTGAAACGGCTTCCTCTAAAGGTTTTGGCTATGCCCTGCCTTCTATGATCAATGAATAAGGAGTGTACACAATGTGTTAATTCCTTCACTAAAAGTGTTAAATACATGTCTCCAACACTATTTTGTTTTGTAATTTCTACTTTTAGGCGTTCAAACATTTTTTAAGTGCTTTTTGCATTCTTTTTGTCTAATAATTAATATTTACTTGTGCGTTATCTACCATTTTCTCTTCCATAGTTTTGACTCATCTATCAAGACAGTTAGCTCTTGCAGTTGCGTTCTGTTATTTTTTTGAATAATTCCAGTAGTACCAATAACGTAGAATTTTGGCTATGGACTGGTGGTAACATGCTATATGTTTTTGCAGGGTAAGAACATGTTGGTAATTGAAACGACAAGCGAGATGGGATTTCTTGAGTCCCTTGGAATTTGGGGTGCTTTCTCCATCAGTTAGTATTTGTGATGCTTTCTCCGTCAATTATCATGTTCCTACATTGGATAAGCGAGATGCCAAAAAGGTAAACCAATTTGAAAAGAGTGTTTCAGACGGGAATGGTCAATTAATATTGTTAGATGTTTTACATATATACCCTCCGAAACTGAAGTTTTTACTTTTACCCTCAACATTTTTTTTACTTGTTTTTACTTCTGAGTCTCATGACCTTATTTCTGCACGTACTGCGATCTCTCAATGTATTTGCAGAGGATGACATTGATTCAGCATCTGAAGCAGTCCACAACGTAAGATATTCTGTTCGACTTGTTTATTTTTAGATTTGTTGCATTTTCGCATAATGGCACTATTCATCAGCATGGTTGAAGCGACTTTGATCGAATAGACTTCAGCTGAAGTCTTAGTCCAGGACCTCTGTTCAAAAAACATTCCTGATCTAATCCTTGTATCATTTTATTTTTGAGGGGCTTACCGCGATCTATTGCCTTGTTGTGGTAATATGCGATCACAGAGAGTAGGTTTTTACACAATTAGGTTATGTTTCAGATGCAGCTGAAGAAACTATATATGCCCGAGGAAATGGCTGCTCAGGGAGCAAAGGGTGGAAGTTCAGAAAGCTAATTTACCCTGGCAAAGAGAAGATAGACATGAACCATTTCTATGATATTTTGGGTGATATTGTGTCGTTCTGCTGTTGAGAGCCCTTTGTTGATTCTTTACGTGCGGGATTTCTTTTCTACATTTTGCTATCTTCGATTGGGTTTTTTCCTCTTCCCACTCTTTTCCTTTTTCTGTGAACTGGATTTGCCCTATTTTGTTGTAGTCCTCCTTTAACTACTATCGGCAAGAGGGTTTTCAATATGGGGATATATACGCGCCGAACGCATGATTTTTTTCCTACAGAGGATTGTCTTTGGTCTGATACTCCTATTGTACGTCCATATATTAATCAGTACTTAATTGAACGATATAGATTTTCTGATCTTGTATCTGTAGAGAAAGTATGTACGTTATTATTAGACTCAAGGATGTCACCAAAATTTGAAGGTAAAAATGTACCCATGTATAGTCTGAATATTAAAAAAACCATAGATCTGTCATCTTGTTGTGTGCAAGGAATCTTGATGCTGAACAGGTAATAGCGCAATTGTGATGTCAGTGAAGTTTTTGATGAGAAATGTTGAAGAGACGAGGCCGAAGACTAAGAATAAAATCATTGAAAAGGAGAGCAACTTAGGATTGGAAGCGACTAATATTATAGTGATGCTTGTGTGTTTCTACATCCTAATATATTATTAGCAAGTATAGTATCGTTTTGAAAGAGAGAACAAAGTCTGCGGGCTTTAAGTCAATCCATCATTGCTGAAGTACAAAACAAAATAGCGAACTTAAACCATGTTTTCATTTGCTTTAATCCAATTGCATCAACGAATATATCAGGTTCTTAGGGACAACAGGCAGCTCATACACTACTTATTTCTATGGTGAATTGGTTATGTACAGCAAAAATGAATTAACGGAGGGGGGGAAACTACTTTTTACCAAAAAAATTACAGTGTTCGTTCTACCTATATAAAGCCCCGACCACAAAACAATCTCGCTAGCTCCAACTAACGGGGAAAAAAATGTAGAAATCAAAGAAATTGTCTCGAAAATTTAGAATGAATTGGAATCTCTTACACTTCCAGCTCCTCTAAGACGATGTCTTTTGGAACCAGATTTCTTGCCCTTTCCACGTCTAGATGGTTGCTTTCTTGATGGAGTAGACCTTGATGTTGCTACATTGTGGACTTCATTGGATTCCGATCTAGTCCGCAACTCTTTAACCCAACTGGGCTGTGTAAGGTGATTTTGGGACGCACGCTTTTTCTCTAACAAGTCTCTGTGATATGCCTGCACAATTTTGAGGTATGTCTAATTACTTGCCATTGGATGAAACAAATAAAAATTGTCAAATTGTTGGTTATAACTCATAAAAATCGCAAATTTTGAAGTAATAATCAATTGTTATCCGGTCAAATAAACAATAAAGGACAAGAATCGTGAGTTATAACCCAAGAAATCGAGAATATTGAAATTCGCACAATTAGTTGCTAATGGATCGAAATGAAATAAAATGGACATAAATTATGGATTATAACCCATGAAAATTACAAATTTTTAATGAACCATACTTATTTTCCATTGGGTTAATATTAATAAAAGTATGGATTATAACACATAAAAATGCATAGTTGGCTTTTGAAATTTTAATAGCTATTTGGTTGAAAACAATTAAAATAGACCATAATCGTTGGTTACATAACCAATCAAAATTGCAAATTATTTAGTACGCATGGCAGTTGTCCTTGGGTTGAAAAGAACAAAGAATTGTCACTGGGTCAAAAAGAACGAAAATGGGTAAATATCATGTGTTTTAGCCCATAAAATCATCAATTTTGAAACATTTTTAGTTAATTGACATTAGATAATTGATATTAGATTGATGTTAGATAGAGGAACGAAAATTAACAAAAATGGTGGGTTATATATGCCCCATAAATATTGCTCGGTTTGTTGAAACATTTAATTGTCATTTGGTCGAAACCAACGAGAATGGATTAAAATGATAGGCTATAAATCGCGAATTCCTGGTACAAGTGACTAATTGTGCGTCAAAACAAACTAAAATAGGCAAATATCAAAGGTTATAAATCCATTATAATCGTGAAGTTTGATATATGCATACTTCTTTCTCATGGGGGTAAAAACAAACAAAAGTCAACCAAAAACATGGTTAGTAACTCATAAAAATTATGTGTTTTGAAGTATACATATTTTGTTGTCATTACATCGAAACAAATGAAAATGCACAAAAATCATGGGTTATAATCCATGAAACTTTGCGAATTCTGAATTGTCCACCCAATTGCCATTAGCTTGAAACAGACAAAATATGGACAAAATATGGGGGTTAAAAGCTCATGAATTTTAAGATACCCATACTTAATTGTCATTGAATAAACAAACAAAAACTGCAAACAAACTTAAATTATAACTCATGAAAATCAAGAATTTAATATACATATTACTGCTTGCAATAAAGAAAACAAAAAAAAGCCAAAATCGTTGGTTATAACCATTTAAAATCACAAATTTGTAATAGTCATAATTAATTGCTATTAGGTCGAATGAATGATAATGAACAATAATCATGAAATATAGCCTACGAAAGTCATGAATTTTGAACTTCATTGAGTCAAAGAGTCAAATGAGGGTTAAGGCCCATGAAAATCACGAATTTTATAGTACGCATAATTAATTGTTATTGGATCAAAACGAATGAAAGTTGATAAAAATCGTGAGTATATAGCCCATGAAACTTGTGAATTTGCAAGAACATATAATCACTTGCAATTGGGACAAAAGAAACCAAAATTGTCAAAACCATGAGTTATAGCCTATCAAATCACGAATTTTGAAGTAGTCATAATTAACTGCTATTGCGACAAATGAACGGTAATAGACAAAAATCATGGGTTATAACCCAAGAAATTGTGGATATTGAAATTTGCGTAATTAATTGATATTGGGTCAAAAAGAACAAAAATAGGAAAAAAGAACTATAGCCAATGAAAATCATGAATTTTAAAGTTTCATATTTATTTGTCACTAGCTGAAGAAGAAAAATTGACAAATATTATGTATTATAGCCCATGAAAATTATTGTTTTTTATTAAAAGAAATTTAATTTACAATGGGTGGAAATCAATGAAAAGCATGGATCATGACCACGAAAATTGTGAATTTCGAAATATGTTTAATTATTTGCCATTGTGACGCGAACAAAACAAACATTGTCAAAACCGTGACCTATAACTCATCAAAATCGCGAGTTTTAAAGTGCTCATAAATAATTGTTATTGGATCGAATAAACTATAATTGACAAAAATCGTGGGTAATAGTCCATGAAATCGTGAACTCTGAAGTATTCTTAGTTAATTGTCATTGGGTCAAAGCGAGCAGCAATGGACAATAATCATGGGTTATAAACCATAAAAATTGTGAACGTTTAAGTTAGCATACTTATTTGTCGCTGGGTCAAAACGAATGAAATTGAAAATTAAGTTGTGGGCAAGGTTATCGATAGCGGATAACGTTGTGTAGTAGTGAGGTATCACTAAGGCTATTTGGGGCTATTGCAGCAAAATAGTGGTAAAAACGCAAAGTCAAATAGCGGTCTAATTTAGATGCGTATAAATATTCATAAAAATGAGAAAAATTAAAGAAAAATCTAGAAAATCTAAAAGTACATATTTAATGAGTTAAAGAAACCCTAAACATGAAATAGCACTGTTTTAAAAAACCTCCGCCTAGTCCGCTTAGGCGTTCGCCTAGGCCTAGGCGGTACCTGGGCCGCCTAACTAGCGCCTAGCGTCTAGATGGTATTTAGGTTGCCCACCTAGATTTTACGAGCGTTTAGGGGAGCATTGCCTGCTTACGTGGATTGCGCCCTGTAGGCCTTGGTTGTGATTTTATGTGTTGTAGCCAACACGTCCTCCAAACTCCATTAACCTCCAAATATGAACACCTCCACTACCTCCTCCGACCTTCAACAAAACCTCATCGACCACCACTTAAATAAATAAATAAAATCCGCCTAAACACCAATTCGGCATCTAAGCTTTCTGTAACATTGACATTCCCTATCAATTATTGTAATTAAAAATAAAAAAAGAAAACATCTTAGGTTCTAGCCTTGTTAATTATTATTTTGGCTATTTAGTATCTAAGTATGCATGATTTATTGTGGACCTAAAATTGCTATCTTTTTTTAAAAATTTATATGAATTTAATACATATTGTAATTTGAGTTGAGATGAACTTATAATTTGAGTTGAGAAGTATAAACATACAAAGAGCTATTGTAATTGGTAAACCAAACAATTTAGTTAATAATGTTGGTATTTTAGTATTTATGTATCTTTGATTGAGTATATATATATTTATCTTTAAGTATCACAATTAAAAGAAATGCCCAGAAACTGCTTAGGCGCCCGCCTAGACGACTAAACGCTGGGCGCCAAGTCCGACGCCTAGAAACGCCCAGCGTTTAATGTAACATTGTGAAATAGACATGTAACCGTCATACAATACTGAAAACGACTGGAGGAGTCAAAGAGTTATCATCTTGGAGAAGATGAGTTGAGCAATAAGAGGATTGCAGTAGGAGGAGCTCACAATGAGAGGAGGTGAGAGGAAGTGCTGAGAGAGGTACAAGAGGCTGAGGGAGGAGGCGGGAATACGCCGAAAATCACTGGAGGCGGTGGGAGGCAGTGGTTGCGGGTCAAATTTAATTTTAAGAAAAGAAACATCAAACTGTTTTTAAATAACGGTCAAAAAGCGGATTTTGCTCGCAATCGCCCGCTATTCACCGCTATAGCGTGCTATTGACCGTTTTTGTAAGCAAAAAACGCATATTTCGCAATATGTCATTGCTATTGGACGATAGCGTAGCGGCAAGGGACCGCTAACGCTTTTAGCGCCATTTATAACAGTGGTTGTGGGTAGCCTATAAATTATGTAGTTTCACGAAAGAAAATTTAAGAATGTGGTCGGTACCAACAAAGCTAGACTAAAAGCATGTATTATAACCCATTAAAATCGCGAATATATTGGTACACATGATAAGAGTCAAAATGAACAAAAATAGGCAAATATCATAGATTCATAGCCCATAAAATCACAAATTTTAAAATATTCTTATTTATTGCCGTTGGATCGAAAACTAACAAAAATGGACAAAATTTGTGGGTGAAAATTCGTGAATTTTAGGGTACACGTATTTAATTGTCATTGGGTCAAAGAACGAAAATTGAAAAAAAAAATCATTGTTATGAAAAGAACGAATATTGACAAAAATCGGGGAATAAAGTACATAAAATTTGTGAGTTTTGAAAATCATGGGTGATATAGCCTATGAAAACTGTGATTTTTAAAATATGCATAATTAATTGCTTTTGGGTCAAAGTAAACAAAATTGACAAAAATTATGGGTTATAAACCAAGAAAATTATGAATTATGAAGTACATTGGTCATTAAGATAAAATGAACAACAATTGTCAAAATCGTGGGGTAACCCATCGAAAGCGCGAAATTTAAAGTTAGTCACGAATAAAACTGCCTAAAAAATCCCATAATTTAAAAGTTCAACAAGAACACCAAACCCTTTATCCTACAATTTTTGGTCGGCTGCACGAATCTTATAGTTCCATTTAGTTGCTTTAACGAGCATCTCTTCCGTTAAGGTTACTCTAAAGTACACTTCTTGGTTGCTTCCAAGTAAGTTCTATTACACCTACCTCTACAAATGCACCAATTTCTTATCACTTGATTCTCTCATTTTATCCTTAATAAAAGCAATCTCTGACCTTCATGCTACTCATTTTCTCCCTATGTTGTTTCTTAATTGCCCAACATTTTGATCTGCAAGACATTGTTAATTTTTTTAGTTGTCCTATAAAATCTTCCATTTCAATTTTATAGGTTTTCTAATTGAAGCATAGCAAATCAGAAATAACTCTTATCAGAAAGGCTTGTGAATATTGGAAAAATTCATAGGATCAATTAGTAATTAGTGCTCTCCTTTTACTTCTCAGAATACCCTTTTGATGATCCAGAAAGGCACAAATGGGATCACTTTGAGAATGGTGAAATAAATGAGGCAAACTCAAAACAACCCTATCCTATCTTGAACAGACCTCAAGAGAACATGAACGAACATCACAAGCTCATAATAGAACATGTAAATACCTGAATGACAAAGTTGCGCCTTTCACAATCCATGAACATGAAGGGCAACCAGTTTGTTTTAAGTCTTATTTTGTCCCTCGTAGTGCTGAAACTCAGTTGATCCCTGGAAGTAAAGCGATCAACTTCATTGAACCACAGACAGGTGAAGAGGTTTGTAATGGGAATATGCTCTCTGATGATCACACAGCCTTCAGGCACATCTGCAGATTAGAAAAAGACCATAAATACAGGGTTTCCTATCTTGACTCTATTAGAAACGGAAGTTACATATATCTACGTACTGACCACTAGTAATAGGATATTTGTCTGGATAAAAATGAGTTAATCCCTCCCTTTTGTAGAACTCGATTTGGTAGTCAATGGAGGCATTTTCATATTTCCCCGCAGCTTTATTAGCCTCTGCTTCCTCAAATACATCAAACCGTTTGTAATGCTTGGAGATTGCCAAAGTGGCATTATTCCGCCACAAAAACCTGGAAGATCATATGTGCTTTGTGCATCATCCAAGTCATATTAACTATCATTTAGTCCAACAGAACTTGTAACACTGACGATCTATATTCTACATGCGTGCATCTATGTGCTTTGTGCATGCAGGGTATGGCTTCAAACTTCAGGAGTAAATTAGAAGTTTGTTCCACCTACCTAACTACATGATGAGACACTTGAATGGATGACCACATAATTGATCTTGATCTACATACCATAAAATGTATCTGGACTAAAATTATATGATCTGAACCTATGGGTGCAAAATGAAAAGTTTACAAGTCACAATATGGATGGCATAAAAGGTTTCATGCAATTTTTAAATACATACATTTTTATGACATGACAACCAAGATTAATGGAATGGATCATCCATTTGGGTCACCAATAAGAAAGTTTGAAATGTAGGAACAAACTTTTAATTTGTTTCCGCACTTCTGTGATTTAAAAATGTTAGAAATGATATGGGTGCTAATATCAGGAGGCAATGATTAAACACACACTTACAGGAAGCATGAACACGCGAATATTAAAAATCAATCAAGAATACCTCTCCAGAAGTTGGTAGGGGTCAACCACAAGTTCCAGCTTTCCATCAATCCAAACAGAGAACCGAGCATTAGGAAAAAGTCTGTGAAGTAAAAGTTTCGGAACCTGGAAAAGGCTGTATGGTCAGGAAGCCCTCTTCAGGACTTCTTTTAATTGAGAAATAACTTCATTTTATAATTTGTTAAACTAGTTGACTTCTTGTTCAAATCCATAATGATGGCTAGTACAGATGCATAAGAATCATACTATAAGCAACATGCTCAGATGACCCATATGAGTTAGATTATGAAGACAGAAACCAAGCAAAAGAAATTATAAAAGGAAACGATACCTTTCCTGTGCGTCTTGCATCTGCATAAGGAAGATCACGAACAACTACCACTCTCCACAATCCAACTTTTCTTGTGCTAACAAGAGCACTGGAATTCTTTATAGAGGCTTCAGTTACTTCATCCACAAACATATAAAAGCAAGCTGTTCTCCTTGAAATTTCACGAATGTTTCTTGGTTGTTGCATAACGTCGTAATTTCCTAAGACACGATATAACGTTTGGGAGACCATTAAATGGAAAAGAAACTGAAAAAAGTAAACCATCTGAAAAGGCTGAAAATCCAGTATTATTAATGCGTAGGTACCAAATATAGCTGAAGCTACAACTACACCACGACACTGCTCCATCTCAAGAATATCAGCCTCGTCTATGTTAAACCCAGTCCCTTGACCAGGTTTCTTCCCTTTAGCAAATCTGTAGTGACAAAAAACTGTAATTTGATATACTACTATCAACTAGAAAAATACATTGATATATTTGTGTCTGAAAAGGGAGTGAAGTCTATGTGGGGCACTGAAGTTACAAAAAACTGGTCCCTCAAAGTAAAACGTATGAAGTAAAATTTCTCTAACAATAACAAAAGCAGATCGAATAAACAGCAAGTTTATGAACATATTAGATTTACCCACAGTACACAGTCATTGTCTCCTTTATGTCAAAAGACGCCTCCCTCTGCTTCAAAGATGGATGTCCCCCAAATATGGAGCCCCCATTAGACTCATCTGCCAGCAAGTTCTCTTCAGAAACATAATGCAAATTCTTAATAACAGGTGATATTGACGGCAAAGTTGGCATGTAAGCCACAGCGAGATCCACAGGGACATAGCAAACATCACATGCTAAAAAAGAAAATGGAACCATCAGTATTATGATCAACTTAACAAGAATTCAAATTAAAGCCAACAATCAAGAATCCATGAACATAAAACTTACGACGTGGACCAGGGCGCTTTGGATTGACTTGTGAAGGAGGAAGTGAGAAATTCTCACAAGGATGATGCAAAGGAATTGGCACTGGACGAAACAACGAAAAAGGTTGAGTTTCATTCACAAAAATATCATGTTGTATAACCACTGTTTCTTTGTCTTCAGTTGCAGGAGCTGGAGGAGGCCTAATATAATTTGATGATATCCTATCATGGTCTACAAGATTCCAAACATGATCTGAATAACCAAAAACCGTCTCAGGATCTGCTGGCTGATTTACATCTGTAAACATGCCATTATTAAAACGAAAAGTTAGCTGAAACATACAATTTCAAAGTAAACACAAAGCAGATAACACCATTGATTTGGAGAGTTAGCTCCAAAAAAATTTCTATGATACATTTAATTAGGGCTGATCAAGGTTTTAAATATCGGTTATCGGGAATTTATCGGACGACCAAAATTCTTATCGGATAGCGGAAATCGGGGATATATCAGGGATAAGTAGTATTTATCGGAGTGATATACTAGATGGTGTGTATATATAATATAATAACTAAAAAATGTAATCTAACCATGCTTAATGAAATATAAACATACCAAAATGTAAATCATCATGTTTAGAATCACTAACCAATTGTAGAAAGCAAAACTTGCATCTTGACCGCACGATGAAACCATTTGATTGCATAGCCTTACTTATCGGCCGATAATCCCGATAAAAAAACCTTACTTATCGGCCGATAAGTACCGATAACGCCGATAACTCCCCGATAACTTGCCAAAAACGATAACCGATTAAAAATCCAAGTTATCCTATCGGAGAGCTCCCAAATCCGATACCTCGGCCGATAATATCGGTTATCGGCCGATATTTAAAACAGTGGGGCTGATCCCACAGCCCCCCTATAGCAACAATCAGGGTTAAACTTGTTTGAACTTGATATATACTGCCTTGGCCGACTTCCCAAGGCCAGCTTATATCCTTTAACGCAGTGACTAAATGCCAATTCCAAGTACAATAATATCTATCTTACTATTTTAATAATATTTTATTTTGGAGCTAATATGCAACAACATTACATTGTATTATCTCCTCACAATCATTCAATTCAAGAAGTTAGCCATACAGGGTTATGTCAGTTGTACGTTACAGTCGAACAAACATAATGTCCACATTTTAACCAATAAACAAGGTGAATGCTTAATTTCATCTACTATTAGCCCATCTCTCCTTGAAAATAGAATAAAAACATAAAGTATTTGCAGGTTAAACCCAGTAGTTAGCCGCGACCTGAGGGTCAAGTCAGTTATACGTTATAGTCGAGCAAATATACTGTCCACATTTTAAACAATAGACAAGCTCAACGCTTAATTTCATCTACTATTTTCACAGCCCATGTCTCCAAGAAAACAGAATAAAAATATATAGTATTTGAAGGTTAACCCAGTACTTAGCCACAAACTGTCTATTCAGGTTGTTAACTCCAATTAAAATGCCAATTTTCCACGCCTATGAGCATCTAAATTAAGAGGTTTTTAAAAAAAAAATTCTAAACTCATTCTTTTATCCTGAAAGGATAAAGTACACTAAACACCCAAGAGCTTTCAGCATTTTGCAGTAAACCCCCAATAACTTTCAAAATGCCTTTTTTATATTGTTTTTTGGTTCTAATTCACGGAAGTTACCTACAAAAGTGTAGAAACTTATTGGGATTTTTCTGCAAAGGTTATTGGGGGTTTAGCGTGACTGAAAGTTATTGGGGGTTTACCGCAAAATGCTGAAGGTTCTTGAGGGTTTAGTGTAATTTACCCTTTTCTAAACCCACAACTCCAAAATCATTCATGCACCCCTACCTGATTACTTCAAAAAATAGATTCCATGCTTGACCCTTCAACGTAGGGTATCAACGCAGAGTTGGGTTTAAGTCAGAATGGTGTTTTTAACACAGATTTGGCAGGTTGGGTGTTTCGGACGCTGTGTCGAATAAACACATTCAAAATTAACACTTGAACTGACAATAAACTCCAATTCCAACTCAATTTTTCATCATCCACTACAAACTACCAACTCGAATTAAACGAAAATGGGGGAAAAGAGATGAAACCTCTACTGATCAAGAAGAAGGAGAACAAGATAGCCGCAACCGAGATGAGAGAAAGCAACAGCAACATCGTCGCCTTCTTCCTGATCGCAATCCTACAGATCGACCACAGTCTCCTCTCCTTCGAGTTCTTGCGAACTGGGTAATCCTGCTGCGATTGATGCTGCAACGATCCATAACTCCCTGTTGATCGAAGTCCCAATGACCCTGCTCCGATCATCGTAACTCTGACCCCACGAGATCCCCTCTCATCTCCCCCAATCTCTCTCTATCTCTCTCTCTCTCCCTCCTTCAAATAATCGAAATTCGAACCCCAAATTCAAATAAATAAACCCTAGATCTGGGCGCCGGCGCTCAATTCGACGTGGATCCTCTCGAATCTCGGCAGATCCGAGGGGATTTAGTTACTATAGAAAGAGGGATGAAATCAACAATGGATGTATTGAATCTAGGGTTTCTTGGGATTCTTGAGATCGAACGGCGACAGGATCAGCGTCGAGATAGAGAACCGAGGAGAGAGAAAATTCGCAGTGGAGAGAGAGAGAGAGAGGTGGAGAGAGAGAGGGAGATTTAATATTGTCTGTTCTTGAAATTTACTGCTGACGGTAATTTTTATTCGCCGCGTCTCTTTTTTGGGACAATGATGTTATTATGCTCTTTACTGCTAAGTAAGTGCCTAAGTGGTGGTGTGTTTAGAATAGGGAGTGTATTTATAAATAAACTAGTTTCAGACTGTTTAATATACAAAAATTGATGTACCAAAAGAATGTAAAATAAAACAGTAATAATATATAAATAGTCAGAAATGATACAACCTAAGCTGCATATATGTTTGACTTACTATTAAACTGTAAAAAAGAATCAAAATATAATTTCCCTATTATCATAACAAAATAGATAAAATGTCTCATGTCTATATGATTAATACTATAATATTTTGTTATACCAAGTAATTAGTATGCAGCATAAAGTTTAGTTCCAAACAAAATATTTAAAGCACATAGAGATATTTGCCAAGTATATATATCTATGAATCAAAACAATAATTATCAATATATTGGTAAACAAAATATCTATCATAATCATATCAAGTAGTTAGGTTTCTCAACGCAAAACCACAAAATAAATATGTAGTGCATACAAAAGTTTACTAAATAAAGTTTTAGACCAGAATACTAAATATAAGTTTCAGACATCATGAATTAGATAGAGATTTTTCAAAAAGGAGCTTGAACTCTCTATACAATATTCTAATTCACTTTTTCAATTTTGATATGTTTTTGCTTTTTGTTGCTAGATATTCCCAGAGAAATCAAATCTACTGAAACTGAATGCTCGACATCAGATTCCAAAAATTTTCTCTTGCAAGGAGTAATGTTATCCGAGGAACAAATTTTAACTTCATTGTCACAAGTGACCAATAGTGAGCCATGTGTTTCAGTATAACATAATAGTTAGCATGTTAATGAGGTTGTAGGAAAAGATTGTTGTACAATTAATGTGAAGAATCAAGAAATCAATAGTAAAGCGAAAAGAAATTGGCAATCCAAAGTGATAATGATGAAAGTTGTAGCAACAAAAAATACTACTCAAAAAGATATTAAAAATTTTGGTATTACATTTAGAAGGATTACTATGACAACCTATAATCATAAATCTTCTCGGTGAATTCCAGTAATTAAGCTAGCTACTTCTCTCAATTAATCTATGGTTAAGTTTTTCATGATCAAGTAAATGCATGGTTCAATTAAGTATTTAAATTTTTTTAATTTGTACATCAAGGAAAAGGTGGTGGAAGTTTTTGATGTAAAGTGTCAAAAGTTAATTAGAAGCTTTACGGGACTGATAATGGGTCATTGACAAATAGAACACAAGCCATAAATAATGTTATCTAAACTTCAAGCTTTCATTTGTTTTGAAAACTTCTAAAACTCAAATGGTAAAAAAACCTTGTATTATTAAAAGTCATTATACTCATATGTTAGATAAGAATCTGACAACATATAATGCATTCTTTTAAAAAATCTAACATTAAAAACATATTCTACACATTTTGGGAAAATAAAGGCATGTTTATTTTATCTATTTAGTTAGCATACTAATAAGATATAAAGAAAAGATTTTTGCACTGTTAATGTGAAGAATCAAGAGAACAATAGTAAAACAAAATTCAAAGTGATAAAGGTGAAAGAAGCAGCAACATCAAAAGAGTATTTGGAAAATAAGTATTGTGAAATATACAACAAAAGAGAATTTGAGAGTTTTGCCTTGTCAGGTTATCCCCTTGATCATCCAGCAAGAAATTGAGTAGTCCATCTATTTTTTTCTTTTTCACTCAATTCAGGCTCCATTTGAACTTCCATATTAAATAATATATTTCACTCAATTCAGGCTCCATTTGAACTTCCATATTAAATAATATATTTCGCATGTTTGAAATGTGTTCATCTAGTGTCTTCAGGCTCCATTTGAACTTCCATATTAAATAATATATTTCGCATGTTTGAAATGTGTTCATCTAGTGTCTTATTTCTTTTCAACTTATGTGTCATATACTCTAGCTTTGTTGGTTTGCGATTTATGGGATTGCGAGCCTAGTTTGATGATCATTCCTTCCCCAGAATGCTAATGTTATTTTTCTTGCACCTCGTTTCACAATCGCCATCAATAAAAAATTAAAAAAAATGTATGTTAGTATTTGTGATTAGAACCCTAGATGGGGAAGGAATGGCTCCAAGTTTTTACATAGTGGAATGTATAAATTTTATAGAAATAAATATTTTTCAAACTTAAAAAGATCTTTTGCATAAATACCTAGGTAACATTCACAAAATAGAAAAAAAAAATTAATACATATATTATTGATCTTTTGCATAAATTTTATAGAAATCAATTTGAATTATCGTGTCACTGAGACCAACATGAAACCAACCTTGACCTGAGAAAGTATAGCATTGCAAAAGTAAAAAACACTTCAAAAAATAATGTTCTAAAAGGAAAATAAATAATTAAAGCTTATACGACAACATGATTGGTTACAAGTTGGCTAAAATGACACAAAAGATAATTTAGAGTTTGTTCCTAATCCTTAATAGACTTTAAAAAAATTTATAAACTAAAGATTAATGCTAAATCTAGTACACTTTTATATAATGAAAGCATCCACATAAGCATATAAAAGTACTAAAAAAGTTTATGAAAATCCCTTCTAAAGGTTCCTAATTTACTAAAAAAAAACTATTCTATAAAACATTCAGAAAATAGTGCATTTCATTCATTATGTTTACTTTTTTATTGAAACATTATCGATCTTTTTCCACCTTTATCTTTTTTGATAAAATCAGACTACTTTTAGATGCCGAAAAAGATAGTAAAACCTTAAATTAAAAGTTAAATTTACAGATATTAATGAAAGAATATCAAACAACTATTTTTTCTAAGTTTTAAAATTTTAGTCGTTTTTTCGTGATTTTGAATTTTTAAGGGTGTGTTCTCCAAACTTTGAAACTTTGAGAGTGTTTTTTAAAAGTTTTAATTTTAAGTTGGTTGCTTGTAATTTTCATGTTTCATATGGTGGTAGTAAGTTTTCGAATGTTAGAATATTTCTTACAACTCTGAATTTTGAGGGTATTTTATGCAATTATTGAAACTTTGAATTGTTTGTTGCAAAATTTAAATTTGTAGCGGTCTGTTGATAATTTTGAGATTTTATATATATTGGTTATAAGTTTTTAAATTTTAGGGTTTTCTGTCTTTTTTTAATTTTTGAAAGAGTTTTTTATAATTTTTATAACTTTAAGGTTATTTTTTATAAATTTTAATTTTTTTAATGCTGTTGGTAATTCCTTGAATTCATCTTTGTTGTTCGTAAGTTTTAAAATTTTAGAATTTCAGAGTGATTTTTTATTATTTGAACTTTGAGCGTGTTTTTGTAGTTTTTAAAATATTAAGGGTTTCATGTTTGTTGTTTTAAGTTTTGAAACGTCTAGACCTTTTCTATAATTTTAAACTTTTAAATGGTAGTTTTGTGCAATTTTTAAAACTTTTTGGGTTTTTATAATACTTAATATATTATAGCATATTAATCTCTAAATTATTGACCTGCAAGTTGTTCATATAGGATTATGATAAGATATAATTATGATTATAATAGATTAAAATATAAATGAAATATTAAAAATAATCAAGGGTAATATTGATCATATAAAGATTTTTCTAAACTCGTACTTTAAAGGGAGTATGATATGATTTTACATCTCATGATATGATTTTCCATCTCATGATTATGGTTGTAAATTTAATGTTATTATATAAGGAACACAATTACAGTTTTTTTCCCTACGACAAAACGGGCTGTTCGTGGCAGAAATGATTTACAATGAAGTTTTGCGTAAGCAATTTTGCAAAATTTGACTTCTTTTTATAATTGATGCTGCTGAAAGAGCTACAATTTGCAAGAAAATAAATGACTACAACTGTTATGTAAAATTAAATAGCAATATATAAGTTATAATTTTCTACAGACCAAGGATGCCTGCATTTATTCTGAGTACCTCTAGCAATAATTAATCATTTTAGATCAATCAGCAGCCTCCGTAGGAATCCAGTCAAGAGTTTGCCCTGCAAACATAGGAATGATTTCTCCTGATGCAAATTTATATGATTCTGGCACCTCCCATGGCTTCTTTCTCAGTACAATCTTTGATTTATTTCTTGGGAGACCGTAAAAATCTGGACCATTGAAGCTCGTAAATGCCTCTAGTTTGTCGAGAGCGCCAGCCTAAAATTAAGTAAAAAAGAAAAATGTGGCATGTCACCAAACGTACTCTAAAATGAATATAGTGATTCAATAAAACTGATCTTGAAGATAAAAGAGGACGGGTTTTAAGTATAATTTGGGGTCCCCCACAATTCTATGAGGAATACCTAGTTTTCTATTTAGTGTTAATTGCAGATAGACCCCTGAAGCTGTACTATCGCCAATTTGAACTTACTACCCTGTAGTTATATTGTTGCAGATAGACCACCTTAGCAAAAATAATTTTGACCTGTTTCAGGGGGTTATACCTGCAACAATAGATTTTCACTCAGGGGGTCTATCTGCAACAATATAACTAGAAGAGTAGTAAGTTCAATTTGTTAATAGCGCAGGGGTCTATCTGCAATTAACTCTTTCTATTATTATGATTGCAATATAGGAAATGATAGTTAAAACTGGTTCTGACGTGTATAAATACACACAGAGGGATATTACCTCTTCAAATACTTTGGCATACAAGGATAAAGCCACAGGAGCACTGTAAATCCCCGCACATCCACATGAACTCTCTTTTCGTCGCCTCTCATGAGGAGCACTATCCGTTCCAAGAAAAAATCGCCTGCTTCCACTTGTTACAGCCGCTACAATAGCTTGCCCTAAAGGAATTGAAATAATTAGTAAACATATGATTACAATTTCATTTATAATGAAGTAAAGTGATTTTAACATACTATGTGTTTCTCTTTTCAACACCGGGAGGCAGTAACTGTGAGGTTGCAATCCGCCTTGAAATAAAGCGTTTCTATTGAGAAGAAGATGCTGAGGTGTAACAGTTGCAGCGACAGAACCTAAAGAACAAGTTAACTTGACAAACAAGTTATGATGGAAAAAGGATCCTTAAATAAATGATCGAAGGACGAAGGAAAACATTGTATTAGAAGGTACCTTCAGGACATGATTGAACAAATTCAACAGCATCTGAAGTGGTAATATGTTCCATTACAACTTTGAGTTTTGGAAGCTTTTGGATGAGCGGCGCCAAGATGGTCTTGATGAAGACTTTCTCCCTGTCAAATGTGTCGACACTTGGATCTGTAACTTCACCATGGACCTGATAATCTCATTGAAAAAGAACAGTTAATATAAGTCTCAAGTCCAGAATCTAGCTACGACTAAAAGTAAAGTATGCGCCTAACACAGAAAATTAACATCACAACAGAAGAACTCTTCGCATTACTTTTCTGACACATGAACTTCTTCCTTTGATCAATCAAAATAATAATACTAACAAGGAGATGAACAATGAACTTCAAAAAACAGAATTTTTGTCAAAGTTTTGTAATTCTAAATGTGAGAATGCGGTTGACTTTATAGAAACTGGATCCTTTATTCTACAAACTTCATGCAGGGCTGGCTGAAAGTAACTTTAGATAACAAAAGAATAGTTATTATTTCTACACTCCAATAATGCTCTGAACTTATAGATGAAACTTTAAAATCCTATCAAACTTGTTATTACTTATCACAAAAAAAGGGGGAGAAAAGTAAATTATGACATTTGCTCACACTTCTTTATCACCGAAGGTCGTCTTATCTTCCACGTATAACCAAACTACAGGGTATATAATTTATTTATAGTGCTATCATATACACTCAATTCCTTCTGTCTGCATAGAATTGATCAATTAAGAGTCTAAACAATTATGACACAAAGAAACTAAACAGTCATATTAGATTATCAAGCATCATTCCTACTGTTTACACCATATGCCTAAAAGAGAAGGAAGGTACCAAAAGAACACGACCAAAAATAAAACACATTGATGAATCCATATAATCGATAATTAAATATGCTCATGCGCATAATATTGTAGTGTCAAGAAAGTCGAGTACCAGAAGTGGCATATTATGCTCTATCATCTGCTCAAGAACTGGCAAACATTTCCCAAAAATATCTGTAACACCATCCTGAGAATTGGTAGTTGCTCCAGCTGGGTACAACTTCACGGCAAAAATAACTCCACTCCTTCCTAGAAACATAAATTCCAAGTCACTACATTAAACAAAATAGAGATTACTGGAAAGGAATTTAAATATTCATTTTGGCCTAATTAATTGCCATTGGGAGAACAACAATGGACAAAAATCGCAAGTCATAACCTATGAACAAGGTTATCGATAGCGGATAGCGTCGCGTAGTGATGAGGCATCGCTAAGGCTATTTCGGGCTATTGCGGTAAAATAGCGGTAAAAAACGCAAAGTCAAATAGCGGTCTAATTTAGATATATATAAATATTAAAAAAATTAAAGAAAAATCTAAGAAATCTAAAAGTACATATTGGATGATTTAAAGAGATCTTAAACATGAAATAGACATGTAACCATCACGTAATACCGAAGATGACTGAATGAGTCAAAAAGTTGTCGTCTTCGAGAAGAAGAGCTTAGCGGTGACAGGACTGCCCTAAGAGGAGCTCACGGTGAAGGAGGTGAGAGGAAGTATCAAGGTAGGTGCCAGAGGCTATGAGAGGTGACGGGAGTATGCTAAAAATCACAGGAGACGGTGGAATACAATAGTCAAGGGTTGAGTTTAATTTTAAAAAAATAAGCCTCAAACCGCTTTTAAATAGCAGTCAAAAAGCAAATTTCGAATGCAATCGCTCACTATTTACCGTTATGACACACTATTGACCGCTTTTGCGAACATACATATTTCGCAATATGTCACCGCTATTGTGCGATAGCGTAGCGGGCGATAGCGTCGCGAGAATGGACCGCTAACGCTATTAGCGCCGCTATTGCGGGGCTATTTACCGCTATTTATAACAGTGCCTATGAAAATTATAAATATTAAGCGCACACCTAATTAATTGTCATTAGATTGAAACAGACAAAAATGGAAAACTTCGTGGACTAGCCCGCAAAGATCATGAATTTTAAGGTATGCCTAAGTAATTGTCATTAGATCGAAACAAACAAAATTGTCATTGGTTCAAAGCACGAAAATTGGCAAAAATCATTGGTTACACCTGATGAAAATCGTGATTTTTAGGAAAGAAAACTTAAATGCCATTGCGTCGAAATAAACAAAAATCGTGGGGAATGGAATTTAAGTATGTGTAAATAAAAGTTCATGATTTTCATGAGATATAACCCACGATTTTTTTTCAAATTTCATTCAATTCGACCAAATGGCAATTAAGTACGCATAGCCTAAAATTCATGATTTTCATGGGTTACAATCAACGAATATTTTATGTTTTGTTCATTTTGACCGAATGGAAAATAGGTTGTGTATCAAAATTTGTGATATTCATGGTCTATAACCAACAATTTTTGTCAAATTCTGCTCATATTCGACCAAATGGCAAATAAGCATACATAGTTCAATTGATAATTTTCATGGACTATAACCCCACGAATTTTGTAATTTTTATTTGTTTCGACCACATGGAAAATATAAATATGCGTATAAAAATTATGATTTTTATGGGCTATAACCCATGATTTTTGGTCAAATTTTGTTCAATTCAACTAAATAGCAACTAAATACACATAGTTTAAAATTTGTAACTTTCACAAATTTTGTAATGTTTGCAATTTGTGCCCGTTTGCACCAAATAGAAATTATGTATAAGTACATAAAACTTTATAATTTTCATGAGCTATAATCTATGATATTCATATTTTCTAACCTACGATTTTTATCAAGTTTCATTCGTTTTAACCAAATGACAATTAAGTACATGTAGTTTAAAATTCATGATTCTCATAGGCTATAATCCACGATTTTTGAAATTTTTTTTCGTTTCAACCAAATGGAACTATGTGTATATAAATATTTGTGATTTTCATGGATAACCCATAATTCTTGTCAAATTATGTTTATTTTAACCAAGTGAAATTAAGTACGCATAGCTCAAAATTCATATTATACATGAGCTATAACCTACAAATTTTTTTGTAAATTTTGTTCATTTCGACAAAATAGACATTAACTATATGTACATAAAAATTTTCAATTTTGATGGGCTATAACCCACAATTAGGTCAACTTTCGTTCATTATTACTAAAAGGCAATTAAGTATGCATAATTCAGAATTGATGATTTTTATGGGCTAAAATCCATAAATTTTAAAAAAAATTGTGTTTCAACCGAATGGAAAATAAGTACTTGTGCATCAAAATTTACGACCTTTTTAGCTATAACCATCAATTTTTCATCAAATTTTGTTCATTTTGACCAAATGACAAATAAGTACGCATAGTATAAAATTCATGATTTTCATATGCTATATATAGCCCACAATTTTTGTAATTTCTTTGTTTCACTTGAACGGACAATAACTATGTGTGCATTAAAATTTACGATTTTCATATGGTACGACCCACGATTTTTCCAAATTTCGTTCATTTCGACCAAATGGCTATTAATTACGCATAGTCCACAATTCATAATTTTTATGGGTTATAGCCTACAAAGTTTCCATTTTGTGTATGTTTCGACCGAATGAAAATTAAGTGTTTGTATATCAAAATTTCTGAAAATCATGGGCTATAAACTACGATTTTAGTCACGTTCATTTTTTATCAAATGACAATTAAGTATGCATTGATGATTTTCATAGACATCCATGAATTTTGCAATTTTCTCGTTTCAACCGCATGGAAAATAAGCATGTATATATCAAAGTTTGCGATTTTCATGGGCTATAACCCACGATTTTTGGTCAAATTTTATTCAATTTGACCAAATAACAATTAAGTACGCATAGTTCAAAATTCATGATTTTCATGGGTTATAATCCATGATTTTTGCATTTGTGTTTGTTTCCACCAAATAGAAATTAAGTACGAGTACAAAAAAATTACGATTTTCATAGACTATAGCCCATGAATTCAGTCAATTTTTGTTCGTTTTGACCAAATGATAATTAAGTATACGTAGTTCAAAATTCATGATATTCATTGGCTATCCATGGGTTTTGCAATTTTTCTATGTTTTGAACAAATGGACATTAAATATATGTACATCAATATTGTGATTTTCAAGAATTATAACCCACAGTTCTTATCAAATTGTATTCATTTCGACCAAATAGCAAATACAAACGCATATTTCAAAATTTATGCTTTTCAGAAGATATAACAAACGATTTTTACAAATTTTATTCGTTTCAACCGAATGCACTTAACCATATGTACATAGATTTTAATATGCTAACCCACGGTTTATGTCAAATCTCATTCACTTAGATCAAAAGACAATTAAGTGAGCATAGTTCAAAATTGATGATTTTCATGGGCTACATATCAATAAATTTTGCGATTTTGTTCATTTCAAGCTAATGGAAAATAATTATGCGTACATCACAATAGCAAATAAGTATGCATATTTCAAAATTCATGATTTTCATGTGCTATATAACCTATGATTTTTGCCCTTTTATTAGCTTCGCTTGAATGGGCAATAACTGTGTACATAAAAAGTTCCGATTTTTATGAAATATAACCCATAATTTTTGTCAAATTTTGTTCATTTCGGTCATATGGTAATTAAGTTCGCAATTTAAGGTTTCGCCCACAATTCATGATTTTAATGTTCTACAACCTACAAATTTCACATTTTTTTGTTTCAATCAAAAGAAAATTAGTTATGTGTATCTAAAATTTGCATTATTCATTGGATGATCTTTGTCAAATTTTGTTCACAATTAAATGCGCATGGTTCACACTTGATGATTTTCATGGGCTATATAATCAACAAATTTTATAGTTTTTGTTTGTTTCGACCGCATGGAAAATAAGTATGTGTATATCAAAATTTGTGATTTTCATTAGCTATAATAACCAACGATTTTTGGTCAATTTTATTCATGTCGATCAAATGACAAATAAGTAGGCTAGTTCTAAATTCATGGATTTTTTCATGGGCTATAATCCATGATTTTTACAATTTGTGTTTGTTTCCACCAAACGAATACTAGGTACGGGTACATAAAAAATTAATGATTTTCATGGCTTATGATCCACAATTTTAGACAATTTTCATTCGTTTTGACCAAATGATAAGTGTAGTTCAAAATTCATAATTTTCATGGGCAACCTATGATTTTTGCAATATTTGTTCATTTCGACCAAATGGACTTTAACTATGAGTACATCAATATTTACGATTTACATGGGTTATAGCCCACGATTCTTGTCAAATTTTCTTCATTTCAACCAAATGGAAACTAAGTACGCGTATATTTCAAAATTCATGATTTGCATGGGATATATAACCTATGATTTTTTTAAAATCATTTGAACCGCATGGAAGTTAATTATGTGTAAATAAAAATTCATTATATTCATGGGGTACAACCAGCGATTTTTTTTCAAATTTTATTCATTTCGACCAAATGGAATTAAGCATAGTCCAAAACTCATAATTTTCATAGGCTATAACCCACGAATTTTGTATTTTTTATTCACTTCGACCAAATAGAAATTAAGTATGCATATCAAATTTGCAATATTCATTGGCTATAACCAACGATTTGTGTCAAATTTTGTTCATATTCAACCAAATAACAATTAAATATGCATAGTTCAAAATTGATGATTTTCGTAGGCTATAACCCACAAATTTTGCAATTTTTATTTGTCTCGGAGCGCATAGACAATATGTATATGTATATCAAAATTTACGATTTTCAAGGGCTATAACCCATGATTATTGGTCAAATTTCATTCATTTCAACCAAATGATAATTAACACATGAAGTTCAAAATCTATGATTTTCATAGGTTATAAGTTATAACCCATGATGTTTATACTTTTTGTTTGATTCGACCAAATGGGCATTGTGTACATCAATATTTGTGATTTTCATGGGTTGTAACCCAATATTCCTGTAAAATTTTATTTATTTTGACCAAATGACACTTAAACACGCATAGCTCACAATTCATGACTTCATGTGTTATAATCCACAGTTTTTGCAATTTTATTTGTTTTGACCGAATGGACATTAACTATATGT